GATAGCAATATACGTTTTACTACTCCCGCCAAAGCCGACAGCCAAACAAGACACAAAAACCAAAAGGCCTTACCATGTTCACTAGCAAAAGCAAAACGCTCCAACTGAGAACTTCGATAACTCCGATATAATTTCCATTAAGCTGCAAGGTATACGACTCACAGATGACGAAGTGATGGTTTCTTTCGACGTGATATTACTTTTCACTTCCATCCCACAGCATCTGGCGGTTGAAACCCTGCAAACCTTGTTGGAAGAACAATATGACGAAACGGACAAGAAACTGAAGATAAAACACCTTATTGATCTCCTGAAGCACTGCTTGAAGACTTTCTTCACCTTCAACGGAGCTGTGTACGAACAAGTTAAAGGTACACCCATGGGCTCACCGTTATCCAGCTTGATTGCTGAGGCAGTGTTACAGCGACTCGAGGCACTGGCTTTCGACCACTATCGACCACGACTGTGGGTACGGTATGTCGATGACACATTTGTCATCATCAATCGGGACAAGATTGGGGAATTCACGCAACACCTCAACTCGATCTTCCCAGACATGCAGTTCACGATGGAGGAAGAAAAAGATTGCCGGTTGCCGTTTCTGGACGTACTAGTTCAGAGAAAAGGTGATGGTGCATTAAAGACAACGGTTTACCGGAAGGCAACGAATACCTCGCGTATTCTAAGCTTTCTTAGCAACCACCCTCTCTCGCACAAACGCAGCTGCGTGAGAACTCTCTACCGGCGCGTAGAAACCCATTGCACCGAGCCAGCCGACAAGAAGGCTGAGGTCCAGTTCCTGCGGAAACTCTTCACAGTGAACGGCTACCCTGGGAATTTTGTCGAAAAGTGCAGACGAGAAACCCGGGGAAGACAACCGAAGGGACAACCAAAACCGAAATGTTGGCGCGCAGTGCCGTACATAGTCGGTGTGTCAGAAGAATTCGCTAGACTGATGAGCGAATTTGAGATCGGTATCGCTCACAGACCTGAGGCAACAATACGCCGGCAACTCATGCACCCTAAGGACCCGATTCCCATCAACCAGAAATCGGGGGTCATTTACCGGATAGACTGCAATTGTGGTCAAGCCAATTATGTTGGCGAAACCGGCAAACAAGTACGCACGAGATTGCACGAACACGAGTTGGCTGTGAGACGGAAGGACAAACTCTCCTTGGTAGCCGCCCACGCCTCCACGCCAGGACACGGCTTCGACTTTAAGTGCGTGAGAATATTGGGCCAGTCGGACGACCGAGTTGCTCGCCTCCTGCAGGAAGCATGGCAGTCAACCGAGGACTCGATTAATCGACATATCGATCTGCCAATCGCCTATCAAGCACTGCGAGAGCAAATCAGCAGCGCAGCTAGAGGTCACCCCCGGCAGAGGTGAGCTAAATACACGATGAGTTGTACAATTTTTCATTCCTTCACGATGGGCTCGCGTGAGAGTTCGAAACGTCGGATAAATAAACAATTGGTCTCAGCGATCGCCTTCCCATCTTCTTCTATTCAATTACCTGGGCCGCGCGTGTTCTCTATCATTCGGAATATATATATATATATATATATATTGAATGGTTGAGGTAGTGTGCATTCCGAGATAATATGATGAAGATAGAAGGCTCGTCGGAAAAATTGAGTTGTACTCGT